CCCCCGCTGTGTTGTCTCTTGCAGGGGTGGCCATCAGCACCTACGCCAAGTACTGCTACAACAAGCTGCAGAAGGCGGCGCTGACGGGCGCCAAGAAGGTATTGGCCAACCCTTGGGGGGGGGAGGGGTGGTGGGCAGTGACCCCCCCACCCCGGCCAGGACCACCCAAGGAGGTGCTGGGGTTTGGGGATGGGGTCTGGAGGAGGAGGAGGGGTGAAGGTGGAGAGCACTGGGAAGAAGAGGGGTGGTTTGTGCCAGGTCTGTGGAGAGCATGCGCTGGGGCATCTCCAGCGTGGTTCATCCGTCACTGCGTCCCTTCCAGGGACCTTCTGAGCACCTTCTGGGGACCTGGGAAACTTCTGGGCTCCTTCCAGGGACCTAGGGACCTTCCAGGGACCTTCCGAGGACCTGTGCACCTTCTGGGCTCCTTCCAGGGACCTAGGCACCTTCCTGGGACCTTCTGATCACCTTCTGGGCATTTTCTGGGCACCTTCTGGGGACCTTCTTGGGACCTGGACACCTTCTGGGAACCTGGGGACCTTCTGGGCTCCTTCTGGGGACCTGGGGACCTTCCCGCGACCTTCTAATCACCTTCTGTGAACCTTCTGGGCTCCTTCCAGGAAGACCTGGGGACCTTTCCAGGACCTTCTGATCACCTTCTGGGCATCTTCTGGGCACCTTCTCAGGACCTGGGCACCTTCTAGGGACCTGGGGACCTTACAGGGACCTGGAGACCTTCTGGGCTCCTTCCAGGGACCTGGGCACCTTCCCGGGACCTTCTGATCACCTTCTGGGCACCTTCTGGGGACCTAGAGACCTTCCAGGGACCTTCTGGGGACCCTCTGGGCACCTTCCAGGGTGCTGGGAAGAAGAGGGGTGGTTTGTGCCAGGTCTGGGGGGAGGCGTGAGCCAGGGCATCTCCAGCGTGATTCGTCTGTCACTGCGTCACTTCCAGGGACCCTCTGGGCACTTTCCAGGGACCTTCTGGGCACCTGGGGACCATCTGGGCTCCTTCCAGGGACCTGGGCACCTTCCCGGGACCTTCTGATCACCTTCTGGGCACCTTCTGGGGACCTTCTGGGGACCTAGGGACCTTCTGGGGACCCTCTGGGCACCTTCCAGGGACCTTTCAGGGACCTGGGGACCTTCCTGGGACCTGGGCACCTCTGGGGACCTTCCAGGGACCTTCCAGGGACCTTCTCAGGACCTCGGCACATTCTGGGCACCTTCCAGGGACCTTCTGGGCACCTGGACACCTTCTGGGAATCTTCCAGGACCTTCTGGGGACCTGGGCCCCTTCTGGGCACCTTCCAGGACCTTCTGGAGACCTGGGGACCTTCTGGGCACCTTCTGAGGACCTTTCAGGGACCTTCTCATGACCTGGGAACCTTCTGGGGACCTTCTGGAGTCCCCCAAGTCCTTCCCAAGCCTGCCCATCACCAGGGGAACCCAACAGGGATTAATGAAACAATCCTGGAAGCAAAAGCGTGCACCAAGGCTCGACCAAGGAGGCTCCAGCAGCTCCTATCTCCCCAGCTTCCCAGGGGGCTGCCCTACCAGCGTCCCCCAGCTCCTCCAGCACATCCAGGGATTCATTTCCAGCCTGGGGTGCTCTTGGTGTCCCCACCACCACCATGGCTGCCTCAGTTTCCCTCCCTCCCTCATTTCTTGGGGATGGAGAAGAGGTGGCAGGACCCCTCCCAGGTCCTCCCAGTGACATCTCCTGTGGTGGGAGGGGACACGTCACTCGCCAAGGGCTCGTCACTGAGCTTGGAAGGCAAAGATGGGAGCCATTGAGGAGCTGGGCATGGCCAGAGGCTTGGGGCACGGCCGTGGTGGCTCCTTCCTTCTCAGCTCTGTCTGGACAGGAGATGCTGGGGAGCTGTGTCCCACCACGCCCATGGCTGCTGTGTCCATCCCTTCTTCATCCCACCATGCCCATGGCTGCTCCATCCATCTCCTCTTCTGCGTCCCACCACGCCCATGGCTGCTGTGTCCACCCCTTCTGCTTCCCACCACGCCCACAGCTGCTCCAGCCATCTCCTCTTCTGCATCTCACCATGCATGTGGCCATGGTGTCCATCTCCTCTTCTTCATCCTACCACATGTGGCCATGGCGTCCATCTCCTCTTCTCCTTCCCACCATGTGTGTGGCCATGGCATCCATCTCTCCTGCTTCCTATCATGCCCATGGCTGCTCCATCCATTTCCTCTTCTTCATCCCACCACACCCATGGCTGCTGTGTCCATCCCTTCTCTTTCCCACCATGCACATGTCCACAGCGTCCATCTCTTCTTCTTCCCACCAGGCACGTGGCCATGGCATCCATCTCCACTTCTTCATCCCACCATGCCCATGGCTGCTGTGTCCATCCCTTCTGCTTCCCACCACACCCACGGCTGCTCCAGCCATCTCCTGTTCTGCATCTCACCATGCATGTGGCCATGGCATCCATCTCTTCTGCTTCCCACCATGTGCGTGGCCATGGCGTCCATCTCTTCTGCTTCCCACCATGCCCATGGCTGCTCCAACCATCTCCTCTTCTTCATCCCACCATGCCCATGGCTGCTGTGTCCACCCCTTCTCCTTCCCACCATGCATGTGGCCATGGCATCCATCTCCTTCCCACGAGGCATGTGGCCACAGCATCCATCTCCTCTTCTGCTTCCTACCACGCACACGGCCACAGTGTCCATCTCCTCTTCTCCTTCCCACCAGGCACGTGGTCACTCCATCTATCCTCTCTTCTGCTTCCCACCACGCATGTGTTGATGGTGTCCATCCCTTCTCCTTCCCACCAGGCACGTGGCCACGTTGTCCATCTCCTCTTCTGCTTCCCACCACGTACACATCTGCTCCAGCCATCTCCTCTTCTTCATCCCACCATGCCCGTGGCTGCTCCAGCCGTCTCCTCTTCTGCATCCCACCACACCCATGGCTGCTGTGTCCATCCCTTCTGCTTCCCACCACACCCACGGCTGCTCCAGCCATCTCCTCTTTGACACCCCACCATGCATGTGGCCATGGTGTCCATCTCCTCGTCTTCATCCCACCATGACCACAGCTGCTGTGTCCATCCCTTCTGCTTCCCACCATGCACATGTCCACAGCATCCATCCCCTCTTCTACATCCCAGCACATGAGGCCATGGTGTCCATCTCCTCTTCTCCTTCCCACCAGGCACGTGGCCACTCCACTCACCTCCTCTTCATCCCACCACGCCCAGGGCTGCTGCATCCACCCCTCCTGCACCCCACCACGCACACGTCAACTCCATCTGTCTCTTCTGCATCCCACCATGCATGTGGCCATGGTGTCCATCCCTTCTCCTTCCCACCAGGCACGTGGCCACTCCATCCATCTCCTCTCCATCCCACCACGCCCACGGCTGCTGCGTCCACCCCACCGCGCACACCTCCACTCCACCCACCCCACCTCCATCCCACCATCTCCCGCCCGGCACTGGCAGGGCAACCATGTCCTCCTGTGACCCAGCTCCTAGCTTCTCCTGTCTTTGCCAGGGCCTGAAGAAGCCCAACATCGAGGAGATCCGTCATGCCAAGAACGCCGTCTTCAACCCTTCCATGTTCGGCAGCTCCCTGCAGGACATCATCGCCATGCAGAAGGAGCGCTACCCCGACCGGCAGCTGCCCTGGGTGCAGACCCGCCTCTCCGAGGAGGTCCTGGCGCTCAATGGGGACCAGACTGAGGGCATCTTCAGGTAAAGCCACCTACAGCTGGTGGCACCCCAGCTTCTCATGGAGGAAGCCATAAGGAGGCACCTTGTGGTGGGGGCCCTCCCCACATCCCCATGGGCGCCCTTCTCCTCCCACACCCCCCCCCAACTTCTCCTGGCTCCAAGGCCGCTGGGGTTTCTCCAACGGCAACCAGACGGAGGGCCTCTTCAGGTAAAGCCACCTACGGTTGGTGGCACCCCACCTTCTCACGGAGGAAGCCATAAGGAGGCACCTTGTGGTGGGTGCCCTCCCCACGTCCCCATGGCCGCCCTTCTCCTCCCACCCCCCAACTTCTGGCTCCAAGGCCTCTGGGGTTTCTCCATGGCAAGGGCATGGCCCTTCCTTGGTGCCCACCAGAGTCACATGGGATGGCAACCACATCGCAAAATGGCGCCATCCCCAGCTGACGTCCCCTCTGGGCTTTCCTTGAGCCCCATGTGCACCCAGGGGGACCCCCCAAAGCCAGTTGGGCTTTGGGGGGTCCCCCTGGGTGCATGCGGGGCTCAAAGAGAGGGTTGGGGTCCTCATCTCTCTCTTGGGGGGCTGACATCTCCTCCCCCACCCCCTGCAGAGTCCCCGGTGACATCGACGAGGTCAACGCGCTCAAGCTGCAGGTGGACCAATGGAAGATCCCTACCGGCTTGGAGGACCCCCACGTTCCCGGTAGCACCCTGGGGCGTCAGGGGGGGGAAGGGTGCAGAATCGGGCCCTTCACCCACCAGGGCTGACATCTCCCCATCTTCTCGGTCCTCCCCCCCCTCTCCACCAGCCTCCCTGCTGAAGCTCTGGTACCGGGAGCTGGAGGAACCGTTGATCCCCCACGAGTTCTACGAGCAGTGCATCACCCACTACGAGAACCCCGAGGCGGCCATCGCCGTCGTCCACTCTCTGCCCAGGATCAACAAAATGGTGCTGTGCTACCTCATCCGCTTCCTACAGGTACGGGGCCAGGACCTCCCCCACCCCCAGGGCTTCCTCCCAGCCTCAGGGGCTTCTCTTGAGGTGGCTTGGGGTTCCTCAAGTTGCTGGGGGTGGGGTTGCCCACCTGGTGACCCCCATCTCATCCAAGAACCAAGAGGTCTACGTGGTCCCTCCACCCAACTCCCACCACCACCTTCTTCCTTAGATGGGCTTGGGTGGGCGCACGCTTCGTTGGGTAAAAACCTGGCTGGATGGCCATGCCCAAAGGGTGGTGGTCAACGGAGGTCATAAAATCATTGCTTTGGTTGGAAAAGACCTTTAAGATCATCGAGTCCAACCATTCTCCTACCCCTGCCATCCCACCACTAAACCCTGGCCCTAAGCAAAACCATGACCCTAAGCATGACCTGAAGGTCAATCCAGTTGGTGGTCCCCAGGGCTCAGTGGTGGCCCCACTTCTGTTTAACATCTTCATCCACCTGGACTTCAGCAAGGCCTTTGACGCTGTCTCCCACAGCATCTCCTAGAGAAGCTGGCGGCTCATGGCCTGGGTGGGCGTACGCTTTGCTGGGTAACAAACAGGCTGGGTGGCTGAGCCCCAAGAGTGGTGGTCAACGGAGGTCAATCCAGTTGGTGGCCCCCAGGGCTCAGTGGTGGCCCCAGTTCTGTTCAACATCTTCATCCATGACCTGGGCGAGGGGATCGAGGGCACCC